AGACTCCCTGCTGAGTGGGGAGCCTGTCATGGGGCTTGATCCCAGGACCCTATCCCAGGACCCTGAGGTCAGGACCTGAGCCGAAATCAAGAGTTGGAGGCTTAACTGACTCAGCCACCCAGGCTCCCCAGGCCAGTTTAGTTTTTAGAATGCTCCACAACTTGGATTTGTCTGCTTGTTTCTCATGATTGAATTCAAGTTAAACATTTTGGGGCAGGAATACTACATAGGTGATGTTGCGTCCTTGTTGGTGCATCATAGTGGGAGGCCAGAACGTCTGTCCCGTTATCGGTAATATTAAGTTTGATCACTTGGTTAAGGTTGTATCTGCCAGCCTTCTTCACAGTAAAAGTGCCTGTCCCCCTTTGTAGTTAGCAAGTCATCTTTGGACTGGTACGTTGAGACTGTGACTCTCCTCTCCACAGTCTCTGGTCCAGTGGTTTTGGCAGCCATTGATGATCCTTGCCTGAATCAGCAGTTACATTTGTGATTGTGGAACTGGGAGATTTTTTAATTCTATCACTCCTACATTTATGGCTACCTTTCTTCTAGAAAGAAGAGCTCTTCCCTCTCTTTTTAAAAATAAGACTATTCCTTTGGAACTCATGGATTATTATTTTTTCCCACAAAATAATGATACTTATTTTTGACTTTTACATTTTATTTTTTATTAATAAAATAAAAATAAATACAATTTTTATTTTTATTATTTTTTTAAGATTTTGTTTTTTTGTCAGAGAGCACAAGCAGGGGGAGTGGCGGGGAGAACAGGTAGAGGGAGAAGCAGGCTCTCCGCCAAGCAAGGAGCCCGATGTGGGACTCGATCCCAGGACCCTGGGATCATGACCCGAGCTGAAGGCAGACACTCAACTGACTGAGCCACCCAGGTGTCCCTGACTTTTACATTTTATTTTATTTTATTTATTTATTTATTTTTTAAAAGATTTTATTTATTTATTTGACAGAGATAGAGCAGGAACACAAGCAGGGGGAGTGGGAGAGGGAGAAACAGGCCTCCGCAGAGCAGGGAGCCCGATGCGGGGCTCGATCCCAGGATCCTGGGATCATGACCCGAGCTGAAGGCAGACGCTTAACGACTGAGCCACCCAGGCGCCCCTGACTTTTACATTTTAAATAGCACTTATTATTCATCTTATTAAGAAAGTCATGTCTATTCATTATAGAGAATTAGGAAAATACAGAGGAGGATAAAGGAGCAGATTAAAATCACCTGTGATCCCTGCCATCAAATGAAAATTCCTGAGAGCATTTTGGTGTATCATGGATTATTGTTTAACATTCAGGATGTCATATGTTACTGTCATTCATATTTTTGAAACTCTTAATTGTCTCAGATTTTGCTGGTGGTAGCTCTTTCAAACTGTTGTCCTTTTGACGTGCGTCCATTTGTTGAATACCTGCTTGTTTCTGGTACACAAGATGTTCTAGGCTATCCTGGTATTTCCTTGTCCTGGCTTGAGACCAGCCATAGATGTTTTTTAAGCCATGGGTTCGTACTGACTCCTCCATTTCAAATCCAACAGCGCAGGGCTCTTATTGTCCCACGTTGCATATTCTCACCCCATATTTTAACAGTGAGAACCCAGGTCCCAACAATAACCCGTACACTCCTATGTCCTGTCCTATGGGACACATGACAGAGTTTCAGCATCACCACACCATATAAACCTGCTTATAGTTAAGCTTTCTTTCCAGTTATTTTTATCCTTGAGATATATCCTTTTACGAGAACACAGAGTGCTCTGATCAAGGTACTTGGCCAGTTCTTTTCTCTATGTGGTTGTGTTCTCAATGTCCTGCACAGTTAGTGTCATTTGCTTTTGTTTATTTCAATTTTAGGGCTTGCTTTTCTTTCTGGTGTAAGTTCTTGAGCATGTAAGATATTATATGTACAGAAGTATGTGTAAATCTTTACCCAGGGAAGTGTCACTAGTCATTGTGGCCCTTCTATCATGTAGGTGACCGTTTTATAGTGTCTGGTTTACTTTTCTTGCGTTTCTTTTGCAAACATAAGCAAATTCGTATGCAGGTTCTTCTCCCCCACTTTTTTTACATAAAAAGTAGCATAGTATTTATACTTGTTTGTACTTTGCTTTTTTTCCATTTAATCATTCCACAGCAATTAATAGAGATCCTCTTCATTCTTTTTTACATCTATATAGTACTCCATTGAATGATATACCATAGTTTATTCAAACAGTTGCATTTAGGTTACTACCAACATTTTGCTATTGCAAAATAGTATCATGTTGAATGACATGTATTTATGGTTTCTTAGTTGTGGGTAAAAAAAACGCAGAAGTAGGATTGTTGGGTCAAAAGGAAAAAAATATTTTTATTCTCCTCTCCTCTCCTTTTTTTAATTTTTACTATGAAAGATAGCATACTGTTTTGACTGTTCTATGTCTTTTGTTGCCTATTGTCTAGGCTGTTCTATATCTATGTAGTTTTTTCAATGACTAGTAATCGTGGAGATCTTTCCACAGCAGAGAGCGTTTTAAAAACTGCAGAACAGCCCATTGTATGACTGTACTGTTTATTTCATCATCCCCAATTGATGTGTAGATTTTTCCAGTCTTTTGGTGTTACAGTGCTACAATTAATGCAGCTGTGTAAGGGGATCATTTCATGTAGGTTTCTACCATGCCTGTCTTTTTCCCTTTTGTGGTAGATGTTGTTGGGTTTTTATATCTATATTTGATTTCATATCACAAAGGGGCCATAAAAGATTACAACTGCCCAAATCTTTAGTTGGATCCAGAGAAATTTGACTGGGAGGGTTTTGTTTTTGTTTTTTTAATGCAAACTTAAAAAAAAGATTTTATTTATTTATTTTGTGTGTGCGTGAGAGAGAGAGAGAGAGAGAAGGTGCGCATGTGAGAGAGCGTGCATGAGCCCAAGCCGGGGTGGGGGTGGACAGAAGGAGAAGCAGACTCCCTGTTCAGCAGGGAGCCTGATGTGGGACTTTCTGGGATCATGACCTGAGCCGAAGGCAGTTGCTTAACCAACTGAGCCACCCAGGTTCCCTTAAAGCAAACTTTTAATTGAAGTATAACACATAAGAAAGTGCACAAATTGTAATCTCATGCTTGATGAATTTGCACAAAGTTGACACTGTGTAACCAGCTCCCAGACCCAGGAACAGACCATTACCAATACCTCAGCTTATGCTCCCTGCTTCCTCAAGGTTAACACTATCTTGACTTTAATTTTTTTTTTTTTTTGCTCCCCCGCATCTTCACTTTTAATACCTTGCTATATATAATGCATATTTTCATGATAGTCACCCTCCCCTTTTAGAGTATGCACTGCACAGGTTTCATGCAGAGGGCAGGAACCACATCTGTCTTTTTTTTTTTTTTTTTAAGATTTTATTTATTTATTTGACAGAGAGAGACACAGTGAGAGAGGGAACACAAGCAGGGGGAGTGGGAGAGGGAGAAGCAGGCTTCCGGCAGAGCAGGGAGCCCGATGTGAGGCTCGATCCCAGGACCCTGGGACCATAACCCAAGCCGAAGGCAGACGCTCAACGACTGAGCCACCCGGGCGCCCCGGGAACCACATCTGTCTTACGCTGCCTCCCCAGTGCCTGACACATTACACATCCCCAACAAATGACTGAAGGCAAAGGCCAGCGAGAGGGGAGGCCAGCCTGTGACTGATGCTAGGTCTGTCATGTTCAGGGTCAAGGAATAGAATGTTCTCTTTCAGAGGTCTCTCGTCTCCTCAGGCCTTCTCTGTCACTTGCCTTTGCCTCATGGGGTCCCTTCCTAGGTCCCTTCCCCACCCTTGGATAGGGTTTTCTGAAGATAGACTCTGTGCCTTGAGGCAAACGGCAGGAGGTCCTGGAAGGAGGTAGCCGGTGGAGCTTTCTCCACTGGGCTCATCCCACTGTGGGCGTTAGAACAGTTTCTGCCCCAGGGAGCTTCCAGCGCTGCAGGGGCTGAGAGGGGGTCTGGGTTGCGCAGGGCCTGATCCTCATCCTGCTCGGGCTTTTCTTTCCTTCCAGGTCAGGACAAAGAGGCGTGGGCAGGCCGCTGGGCCGGCTGGTGCCATCCGTGCCATCATGGCAGGTAAGGACAGGGCCATCTGGATAGGACATGCAAGTGAGCAGAGGGTGGGTGGCCCCCTTCCTAGTCTCCTTATCCCCTTCAGTTTTTGGAGGTCAAGTTTGTTCTGTCCTCCTGTCCCCAGGCTTTCCCTGGTCCCCCACTGAGGCCTGTCTATCCAAGACCCTCCGCCTGACACTGTCTAGCTCTCTGTCAGGTCTCTGACCGTGGGAACCAGAGATTGAGCATCCTGATGCCCTGGTCCTGCTGGCCACCTGACTGATAAGCAGCACAGGTGGCTCAATCCCTGTCTCCTCTGTTCCCATTGCTCTTTAATACTCTGAGACCCTTTCCTTCAGATTTCTGAGTTGTTGGTTCCCAAAGGCTCAGGTACAGAATGCCAGAGCTGGAGGGACCTTTAGAGACTATCTAGCTCAAGCCCCACCCCACCGGCTAAATGGAGAACATGAATATTGGAATGCACACGGGAACCCCTGTCTCCAGGCTCACCTATCCTGCTTCATCTGCCTGGAACTGGACAGCATTTATTATTTTTCTTCTGAGAGACAGCAACACTGCCTCAGGGCCTTTGGTTACTTTGGGAACCTCAGAGCAGACTTGAGGAAGCAGGGATGGCTGGGTGGGGTTAGCAGTGCAGCCTGTGACCTCAGGGGCCGGGGGCAGCTGAAACCAGGGCAAGAGGATCATACTGGGTTGTTGGGGAGGGGAACATTCACGGTGATGCCATGCTATATGCTTCACCCACAGAGAAAGTGAACAACTTCCCACCGTTGCCCAAATTCATCCCCCTGAAGCCATGTTTCTACCAAGACTTTGAGGCAGACATTCCTCCCCAGCATCTCAGCATGACCAAACGCCTCTACTACCTCTGGATGTGTGAGTGCTATGTGATGGGGGTGGGCTATGGTGGGCTGGGGGAGGAGGGAGGAAGGCTGGTAGGTGCTGAGCATCGGGGTGGGAGGCCTGTAGGCCTGGCTGCCCCTCAGCCACACTTGCAGTATCTGCATGGGCCATCTCCCAGCAGCCTCCTCTCATGGGCCGACCCCCGATCTGGGCCCCAGTTTCCCTCATCCCCCTGCCCTCTACTTTCCATTCACAGAGCATCTGGATGAGGGTCTCTGTCCACTGGATCATTTCTCTTTTCTTGTTCTCCCTTCCCCTTCCCACTGGGGTGGTTTTCCAGGGAGCCTCTGGTGGCTGCCAGGACCTCAGGATTCTGGATTCATAGAGGAATCCTTGTCTCAAAGCCACATTTGTCTTGCTTTCTTTGTAAAACTGCTCAGAGAAAAGAGCATTAACTGGGAGTTGGGAGATATGGGATCAAACTGGGCTGGTTGTCCTACTTCCCAAGCAGCAGGTTCCTCACCCAGGAAGAGGGTGTTTGCTTAGTGATCACTATGGTTCCAAGGAGTTCTGTGTTGTGTGGTCTGTACTTCTGTAAGAATCTAGAGTTCTAATGTTCTACAATGTTGAGGTCCAGAGTGTCAAGGCCCTAGTAGCTGATGGTCAGTGGCAGGTTGGCAGGAAAGTGTCATCGTAGAGAGATGGGACTTGGCTGTGCCCAGGCTAGTCAAAGGTACCTCTTAGGAGTATACAGAGGGCAGGCTGGCTTTCCCATGCTGGGTATCGGCCTCAAGGAATCTTAGACCTGCAGTGTGACCACAGCCAGGGTCTGTCACAGGTGATGTTGCCTTGAGTCAGCTCACACTTAGCTGCTGACTTGGGGAGGTGATTACTTGTGCCCAGAAGGAGGTAAAGGATGCTGTCTTTGCAGGTTCTTCATGGGGTGATAGAAAGAGTGTGGGGGTAGACAGATTGTTTCAAGTCCTGGCTTGGCCTTTGAGTGGAGAAGGCATCTTTCCCCATGTAACGTGAGGGAAGGAAGAGATGGGGGCAGGTGCAGGTAGGTCTATAGATTTTGGGAAGAGAATGAGGAGGTTGCCTCTGATGGCTTCTGTTTTTTCCCATCAAATGTGATGTAGAAGTGGGGATGGGAGCTTTGAAGAAGGAAAGTGGGATTGGAATGAGAGCACCTTTGTGGACAGAGGGTGAGGACACTATCCAAAGACATGTGACCCCTAAGATTTCTGGACCATGCACAGGGCCCATTTGATGTTGGCCGAATTGATAGTCCTACCGGGCTTTTCCATAGGCTCCTTCTTTCCTAGCAATGTTCAGCTCAGGTACAGATGGGAGTTCTGTTCATCCAGGGGAAGTGTGAGCAGAAGACGAGGCAGGGGAGAGCATTAGAAAACATGTAATGAATTATGGAATCTAAGCTGGACAGGGAGAGAAGTGGAGATGGAAAAAAACTGAGTAGCCGCGTTAATAGATGTCTGTTCCAAACAGGGGGTAGAATAATTACAATAGAAGCACTAGAACCAGTGAGCTGGAGAGAGATGGGACTGGAAGGAGAGCTATAAACCAATATAAAAACAGGTTAATGTCTGTTCTATGTAAAGAGCAAATAAAATCAGTTCTGGGAGTTCCAGAGTTCTGGGAAATTGGAGGGCAATAAACAGAGATGGAGGAAATGCAGCTGAAGCGCAGAGGAAGAAATGCTCACCCTTGTTATGAGGGGCCCTGAGATGGGTGTACCTGCATAGATGACAGCATTGTCCCATCAGACTTGGGAGCACCCCATCTGTCCTGGGGCTCTGGGAACTCTGCGCCTGAGAAGATCTCATCCAGGAGCTGGATTTAAGGGCTATAAATACCTTCCTAAGTCCTCACTAGGCACCTGCCAGATGCTTTGCTCCCAAGGAAATGCATATGACCCTTGAGATGCTTAAGGGCTCTATTCAGAAGCCACGCCCAGATGCCTGGTTGTTTGAGACCAAGATTGAGCCCTCCTGCCTTTGTTTATTCAGCAGGTCTTTATGGAGCCTTAAAGGGACTCAACCTAATGTTTGAGGAAGGGAGCATCCTGATGTCAGAAGCCCTGGGTGTGTGTTAGTGCCAGCACAAGTCTTTGAGGTTTCTGCTGGCTGTGACTTGGTGATCCTGTGATTCTGAGTTCAACTAGAGTATGTGGGCACAGAGGGGTGGGAGCCGGGTTCTGCTCTTGGGGAACTTCCAGTGTGGTTGATGGGCTAGAATTTGTACTTGGGGAACCATGCATGAGAGCAGCCCAGGTCTGCAGGAGGTCAGAGGGATGGGACATGAATAAGGCTGCAATAGTGAAGGAAGGCTTTGTGGAGGAAGCGACATGGTAGTTGTCTAACAAATGAATTAGATAAAGACTGAGATCCCAGCCATTGCTTCCTGCCCCATTTAAGAGCAGGGCAGATGGTACAGTGGCTTGAAGAGAAGTTTCTACAAGGCCTTTTACTTTCCACTTTTTGTGCCCCTTGCAAGAGAAGATATAAGGGTTTCTTGTGCCTTGGGCTTGGTGATTGCTGAGTCTGGGAGGGCCAGGGGCTGAGGACATTCTTATAAGGAGAAGAGCATTTCTACCACCTGGAGGCTTTGGGGCCCTTCAGTGGGGCTTGCTGGACTGAGGTTCTGGGTTCCTCCTCTAGGGACTCCCTGTTCTCTAGATTTCTCAGATCCCTCGGAGTGGGTGTGGGGAGGGGAATTGGTCTAAGCTCCCAGCTTTCTTTCTTACAGTCTGTACTCCTTCTGTGTGTGTATGTATGTGTGTCTCATGTATCTGTGTGTGTGTGTGTATTCACTGATGTGGGTTGTGGGTGCGAATATCTGTAAATGTGGCTTTCATGTATGTTTGTGTGTATCTCCCTCTCTGTGCATTGTGCTGTTTGCATGTGTTTGATTGTGGGTCTGTTGATTTATGGGTGTGTGTGTCCATGTCTGGGTGGTCACATGTCTCTGCATGGGCCTGGGTGTCTGTGTGCATGTCTGGTGTTTGTCTCTGTGCGTGCATGTGCTCCTGGGTCTGCAGTGAACAGCGTCACGCTGGCCGTGAACCTGGTGGGCTGTCTCGCGTGGCTGATCGGAGGCGGGGGAGCCACCAACTTTGGCCTCGCCTTTCTCTGGCTCATCCTCTTCACACCCTGCTCCTACGTCTGCTGGTTTCGGCCCATTTACAAGGCCTTCAAGTAAGTGGTTGGTGCTGACCCCAGCTCCTAACCTTGTGTCTTTGCCCATCTTCCCTGTTTCTTCTCTATATATTTTCTCACTTTTTTTTGACCACCCCCCAAACTCCCTTTCACTTGTTCACTCTCAGCTCAAACTGCCAGGTAGGAGGTGGGCTTCCTGTGAATTCAGTGCTGGGGATGAGAGAGCTGGGAGTCAGAGCCTTGGTTTCCTCTTTCCTCACTCCTCACTTCCTTTCTCACTTCCTTGGGTGGGCATAACGGAGATGAGGCCTATCTTAGTTTTGCCTTCCCTAGGCAGCTGTATGTCAGATTTGCCAGTGGGGCCACCTGTCTCAGTGGAGCTGCCTATCTTTACACCTGTGGGGCTAGCTGATTTGGTACCAAGTGGACCATCTATCCATGTACTACTGACACTATGTGCTAATGATGTCATCCAACTCTGTGCTCAAGGGACCACTCATCCATGTACGAGTGGGGATAACTGTCTTGGGGCCAATGGGTGTCTACCTTGTGTAAAACGGATTTTCAGTCTTGGTGCTAATGGACCTATTCATCCATGTACCAACAAGGCTATCTGTCTTGGTGCCAATGGAGAATCCATCTCAGTGCTAATGGGGCCTCAAATGTCTTTGCCAACCAGATCATCCACCTGTATGCCAGTTAGGCTACTGTTTGGTGCCAGTAGGGTTCCATTCTTATACCAATGGGACTTTCTGTCTCTTTCTTTATGGGAATATCCATCCATGTACCGGTGGAGCTGGATATCTTGGTGCCAGTAAGGTTGTCCATCCCCTTGACAATGGGGTCATTTATTCTTGTCGTAATTGACCCATCTATTTCTATGCCAATGGGGCCAACCATCCACGTACGATGCATGTGAGTGGTCCATTTATGAGGAGATCTCTTCCTATGTAATGTTGCTCACACAAGACTAACACATGGAAACTTGCAAAGATTCATGTAAACACTTCCATTTTTGCCTCTCAATTAAGGCCTTTAAGTGTCTCCTGTCCATTGCTTACTCATTTAAACTTGGAAGGGCTGGGGGCTCCTGAAGACAGGGGAAGCCTTCTCCCTCTGCCCAGGTGATGAGAGTCATTTCCTCTGCTACAGGACTGACAGCTCCTTCAGCTTCATGGCATTCTTCTTCACCTTCATGGCCCAGCTGGTCATCAGCATCATCCAGGCTGTTGGCATCCCAGGCTGGGGCGTCTGGTAAGAGATTGGGGTGTCTGGGATGGACCCAGGGCTGGCATGGGTGGCACCTTAGGTGTGTCCTTTGTTTATGTCTGTGTGTTAGCTGCTTGGCCTGCAAGAGAATTCAGGGTAGGGTAGTAGACACAGGCACAGCAGCAGAGGGGAAGGAGAACCTCGCAGTGGCTTTGGGGGGTTTCCAGGGGTGTCAAGCATCATGAGAGAATGCAAGGGAAGGAAGCCTCATGTCTGAGGAGCTTGTCTCCTGAGCCATGGGAAAGAATTCTTCTGAACCACTGCCACAGGCCAGGTGGCTCATCTCTTTGCATCCGATGATATGGCCCCTCCCTGAGACAATGAGATGGCTCCTGGCTGTGGTGGGGGGGCTCCCGGTTACCCCTCAACATGCCAGCAGTCCCACAGCTGGCCTCTTCCTGCAGCGGCTGGATCGCTACCATCTCCTTCTTTGGAACAAACGTTGGCTCAGCAGTGGTGATGCTCATTCCCACCATCATGTTCACGGTTGTGGCTGTGTTTTCCTTCATCGCCCTCAGCATGGTATGTGCAAGGTTGAGAGGTGGCTTCGGGAGGGGCTACGATCTGTAACAACCCCTCCTCCAAGTTACAGGAGGACCCGGAGGTCTTCCAAGGGACTCACTCTAGAATGGCTTGGCGGACTTTGCTCCCTAGTACACAGGCGGGTGTGGGAGGGAGGACTGGCGCTTACAGGGACTTGTCTCTGGTGTCCAGGTCTTTCCTGGATGGGCTTGCCCTTCCCTTTGATTAATCCTTCCTTGTGCTCCTCTTCCTACAGGTTCATAAATTCTACCGGGGCAGTGGGGGGAGTTTCAGCAAAGCTCAGGAGGAGTGGACCACGGGGGCATGGAAGAACCCACACGTGCAGCAGGCGGCCCAGAATGCAGCCATGGGGGCGGCCCAGGGTGCCATGAATCAGCCGCAGACTCAGTATTCCGCCACCCCCAACTACACATACTCCAATGAGATGTGAGCCAGCCGAGCCTACCAGGAGGGCAGGGCTGGGGGTCCGTGGGACGGGGACTCAAGCCACATTGTCTGTTGTGGTGACCAAGCAGGGTTCCTTCCTCCCTTTTCTCCTCCCCAACTTTGTACAAAGAATCAGAGTTATATATATATATATACATATATATATGTATACGTCTTCCCCCTTCCCCTGCTCCTTTGGATTCTGCTCTCAGTACTCTGAGAGCTGTGGGCTGCACGTGCAGCTGTCCCGTGCGATGGTAGCTATGTCCGTGTCCCCTTGTGAATAGTATGCAGTGGAGGTCTCTGTTGTTGTGGTGCTAGATGTATGTTTAGAACTAAACCAGCCCCCACCCTTCACCAGGGTGCCCGCTCTGACCTTGGCCCAGGGACTCCTCATGGACCAGGGGGAGGCATAGCAGAAAGCCTGGCCCCCTCCCCAGGGTTATGAGCTGAAACTGTCTCCACTTTTGGTCTCACTGGGAAGCAACAGTATTTAGCACTCATGGGGGTGTGGTAGTTAGGAGGGTGGGGACAGGCCAGGGATGTTCCTTTGCTCCTTCTGATCTGGTTTCCTCCCCCTCCTCCCCCTCCCTCCTCTCCTCTTGGTGTCAGATTCCCTGTGGCTTCTTTTCTTGCGCAGGGTCTCTCTCTTCCCCATGTGGCTTTTCTTTGTCTTCCCCAAGGCTGAGTGTCCCAGTTGTATATGCTTCTGAGACTGAGCCCATTCTCAGATCAAGGACGTAGACAGGAGCTGAGCCTTAGGTGTGATGTGGGAGGGCACACAGCTGGAGATGCACAGCCCACCTTGGTACCTGACTCCCAGGGAGTGGAAATGCAGCGTCATCTCAGAGCTTGGCCTGCAGGGGGAGGGGGGCTCCTCTCTTTTCTGCCCTGCTTCCCCTCCTCTTCCCAGAGCCCCCTTGAATCCCTCTGCCTATGTTCCTCCCCATACCCCCAGCTGCTAGCCTACCCCCATCCCATGCTAGGTGGCATCTGCCATCTGTGAGGGCTGATTCCACTGCCTTCTCTGAAGAGCTGGGTGGTGTCCAGGTAATTTTCAGGTATAAAGGTATAGCTCGAGCATAGGGTATGTAAATAATTATTGGTCCCTGAGTGATATCTGACTGGCCCAAGCCCACTGGGCAGGTACTAGGTATCTCTGAATGACCACTGGATTCCTGAGAGCAGATAGCTGTTCTGCTTGGGTCTGGTCAGGGGCAGGCTCAGAGGGCTGGGCCTGGAGGGAAGATTGGAGGAGAAGGCAGGCAGGGCCCAGGAAGAGGAGAGCCTGCCTCCTCCCACCCCAGCTTGCTTTTGGTCACAGAACAGTTCTGGGCACTTGAACTCAGGGCCCAGGAAGAAGCACATGCCCAGTCCTATCCATAAGCACAATGGCTGGAATGGGATTTCAGGTTAGGCGGGGTGGGAGGGGAAGCCTCTGACTTTTTTTTTCCCAAATCAAGATTACCTACTCCCGTCTGCCTATTAGACTTGGTTTTTGGCCCTTCCTCACCCTGTCAGAACCCGCTTTCCCTTGCAGGATAGTGATTTAAGGCCTGTGGGGCTGTTCTGTTCCAAGCATTGTGAAAATGTCACTGGTAGAGGTCCTGGCTCTTTCTGAGGCCTGGAGGGAGTGGATTCTCACCGAAGGAGCAGCTGCCTGTTTTCCATCCTCCCTTCTCCTGCCCGGGCTATTTGGCCTGAAAATTTTGGCCAACCTTGCTTGGTCACTCTGGGCTGGCTCCAGCTTGGAACCCAACAACTGGGCTTCCAGGTGCCATCTTGAGCTTTGAGCTCCAGGCACTTCATTTTCCTGTAAGGAGAGCCAAGTCCTCTGAAAAGTTCTCTTCCTAATGGTCCCTTACACTTGGGCCAGAGTATGATTGACTCTCTGCTCTACATTTTCTTTTCTTTTCTTTTTTTTTTTAAAGATTTTATTTATTTATTTGACAGAGAGAGAGATAGCAAGAGCAGGAACACAAGCAGGGGGAGTGGGAGAGGGAGAAGCAGGCTTCCCGCCGAGCAGGGAGCCCGATGTGGGACTCGATTCCAGGACCCTGGGATCATGACCTGAGCCGAAGGCAGACGCTTAACGACTGAGCCACCCAGGCGCCCTCTGCTCTACCATTTTCTCTCCAGAAAGCAGTTGTCACAGCCTCTAGTTCCTAAAAAGAGACCCTAGGTCTAGGTTTTCTTCACCCTTCCTTTCCCGTACCCTAGACCTCTGGCTCCCTTTCTCATAGAGTCTGGTAGCTCCGAGAGGCCTGTGGTAGCACTCACTCCTGTTGGATGCCACCTGCAGTCAGTTTCCTGTCCTACCTGCCTCTCTTCTTTCCTGGCCCAGACCTATATGGCCATGCCCTAGCTCTGCTCTTGGGAAGGCCTGCTACCTGTATGTGACCCAGCTTGTCCAGGCCCTGGGATGCTGCATCTCCAGGCAACTATGCACTTTCCTAGGGAGGGAACCAGTATGAGAAGTGGGGGCTGGGCATGAATTCATCTCCGCTGGATGGTCTGTCTTGGGTGTGGTGGAGGAAGGCCCAGGTCACTTTTGGGAATCCTCAGGTCTGGCCAGCCAGTGACCTGTTTTCGCATTTTGCTGGTGCCTACTGCTCCCCCTTGTTTCTAGGAGACACAGACCATTGTCCAACTGGCAGTTGACCTGCCTGAGCTAATGTCTGTCTGTGGTAATTGAGTGAACCTTAATAAAGGGGAACATTTGGCCCTGTGTGTCCTGCTGCGTCATGTGTCTTCATGTGGGCCTGTGTGGAGCCTCACTGTGGGCTGTGGGGCTTAGAGGTAGGGTGGGTCAAGTGGGTCTGTGGCCTGTCATTCCCTGGGGCCAAAAGTTACACACCTCTGTGTGATTCCTTCTGAGGCAGCCTTGAGTCGGCCTCCTGCCTGTTAGAAGGAGTTCTGAGTTGCCTAAGGAGGAATTAGAAGGCTGGATTAATGGGTGAGGGGTGGTTTGGTCCAGATGGTCGCTGCAAGCAAGGGCAAGGGTAGAACACAGAGGGTCCCCACCTCAGTTCTCACTGATGAAGACTGGCAGCAGATTCAGCAGCCTCAACAAACACAGGGCTTGTGGGGGTCTCGATGCTGGAGAATGAAGAAGGCAGCGAAGTGTACCCAATATGTTTTCTCCTGCTGCTTTCCTTTTGCCAATGCTGTGCCCTCCATTTGTATTGCTGTGCTGACACTTTATCTAAGCTTCTGGTCATCCTTCAAGATTCAGCTTGAGTGACTCCTCTGAGAGGGCTTCCCTGCCTCTCGTTGTTTGGTCCCTCTGCTTCCTCATGGAGGATCTTATTCTGTAATTTCCTGTCCCCCTGCCAGTCTGAAGAGCAGGGAGGAGTCTGATTTAGCTCCGTATCCTGTGCATTTAAAACATAGGAGAGGCTCGGCAAATGTTCAGTATAAAGTGTCCCAATGATGTGCAGTGTGTACATGTGGGATGAGGGTGTGGGGTAAGGAGGTGAGACAATTAGGCTAGACCCAGAAGAGGGCACCAGCACTAAAAACGGCCACCGGGTTGTTCGCGGCAGGATTCTCCCGAGTGGACTACAACTACCAGGAGGCAGATACATAGACTACAGCTCCCAGAAGGCTGCGCGACATGTAGGCAGCCGGGCGCCCTCGTGAGACTACGTGCTAGGCGGAAACAGGAAGGGGCGGCTGAGATATCGCGATATTTGGGGCTGCCCGAGACGCGCCAGGCGTGGGTGAGGAGGCTAGGGGTCTTTGGAGGCTGTGTTCTCTCGGCCCGGCGGTAGGGAGGCCCTGGGAGCTTCGCCGACTGTCGGTCCGCGACTGTTTATGCGTGACCTCAGTTTGGCCCGCGCGCGCGCGTGTGTATGTGTGTGAAGGTTGTGAGTCCGCGGGGGTGTGTGACCTCAGTTTCCTATCTGCCCGTGAAGCTCAGCTCGCCACTGTGGGTTGGCGGCCGTGTCTGTGTGGGGACTGTCGCGCCTTTGGGACTGTACTTACCTGTCTGCCGGCGCATTTGGGACCTCTTCGTGGCTCGAGTCTGGAGTGGGCGATTTGTATCTGTGTGTTCCCACCCCTGCTTTGTGCTGCACTGCGATTGTTCAGTGCTTTTTAAACTAGTTTAAAAGGTGGCCCCATCAGTTCCCCTTATTTTAAAAATCGGTAAAATAGAAAAGGGAAAGCCTTGGTATGTTGGATCCTCTAGATCCGCCTAAAAGTGCTGATGGTTTTTAAAAATTAGAATGGGGCGCCTGGGTGGCTCAGTTGTTTAGGCGACTGCCTTAGGCTCAGGTCATGATCCTGGAGTCCCGGGATCGAGTCCCGCATCGGGCTCCCTGCTCGGCAGGGCGTCTGCTTCTCCCTCTGACCCTCCCCCCTCTCATGTGCTCGCTCTCTCCTCTCATCCTCTCTCTCAAATAAATAAATAAAATCTTAAAAAAAAAAAAAATTAGAATGAGGCTAAATTTTACCAGAGAAAAACTTTCTCCTGTCCTTTAGAGGCCTGTACCAGGCGATAAGCGGGAGAGATTGCTATAGTTGGAGAATTGGTGAATGTTTTGGGAGTAGGGTGTTTTCCCCACGTCTCTCGCAGTGGCTGTAACTACCTTGCTAGTAGCCAGTGTGTGTGCATGTGTGTGTGTGTGACTATGATACTTAGTTAATATTTTAAACTATATATAAATACATAATATATACAATATATATAATACAAATATGTATAATATATGTATATATCCCCAACATGTGCTCTTGAGGAGGAGTGCCTAAATTGGATTGCAGAAGCTGCAGAGTCAAGCATGCCTGCCTCTAGTGAGAGAGAAGAGCAGTTCTAGCAGAATGCTAAGGCCTTGAGCTCTCTCCTGAGTTCCAAGCTGCAGAGTCAAGCATGCCTGCCTCTAGTGAGAGAGAAGAGCAGTTCTAGCAGAATGCTAAGGCCTTGAGCTCTCTCCTGAGTTCCTTGCCTTACCTTGGGGACAGGGATTTAAAGTACCCTGTGGCCTTTTAATGTCTTTGGATTCGGGGGTAGGGTGACATTTTGGGGAGCTAGAAGTTGCTCATTATTAGGAGGGCAGAATAGAGTGTGTTGACTGGTGGGAGATAGGGCCAGAGCAAAAGCCTGGGCCCAGGAGTGAGGGGCTTTAACGTTAGGCTAAAGATTATAAGCTCTTAATGGATCCTGGATCCCTGTTCCCCCAACCCCCCATGTTTGGTTCTGCTTTGTCCTAGGCCCCAGCCCCTCACTGTTCCTGTGTTGGGCAGTGTTTGTACTGTCTGGCCCTTTTTTAGCCCTGGTTCTGTGTGGCTCCACACATGCCCCTATTGTGACTGGCAGGTATTCCTGAAACCTTAACTCTGCCCTAATTAAACTCATCAGAGGAGGTTTACACATTGCAAGCTTGCCACAAGCAAGCTCTGGCTCTGCCTTTTTTTTTTTTTTTTTTTTTTGAGAGCGCGCGCGCATGAGCAGGCAGGGGAGGGACAGAGGGAGAGAATCTTAAGCAGTTTACGCTCAGCGTGTAGCATGATGCAGGACTTGACGTGGGGCTCGATCTCACGGCCCTGAGATCATGACCTGAGCCAAAACCAAGAGTCCCACACTTAACCTACTGAGCCACCCAGGCGCCACTGTCTGGTCCTGTCTTTATAAGGGGTAGAGAACCTGCCATTTTTCTGGCTGTGACTTACCTGCATGACTGGTGTCCTGGGAGCTTGAGGCTCAGTAATCATAGCCTTCAGCCCTTATAACCTCTCTGCATGCTAACTCTTTCTGCTGCTCAAGAGTTCCTATGAGTCCAGCAAAGCCCAGAAAAATCAGGCGCTATCTACAGCACCTTGGCTGTGCAAGTAGGTGGTTCTAACAGGAGTGGGCTAGAGTAACAGACTTACTGGTTTGGGATTTGATCTTTTTTAACGTAAACATAAAGAACTACCAGCTATCACACTTCACAAGACTGTTAGGTTGAACCAGTTTGACCTTGCTTTCAGATGTTTGTTAAATTAACCACTTTCTGTTACTCAAGTACCTATGTCCCCCACCCCCAACACCCAACCCACACTCACTTTTCTCTAAAGGTAGGTAGGCTTTGGTCCTTAGCAAGTCCTGCTCAGCAGGCTAAGTTGTAAATCTTGGGCTGTATCACCTACTGTGGGGAAGTAATTGAAATTCCCAACATGGCTTCATGCCCTAGGTTGTTTGTTTGTTTGTTTGTTTTAAATTTATTTATTTAATAGAGCGCATGAACAGGGGTAGGAGCAGAGGGAGAGGATGAGAGAGAATCCTCAGACTCCCTGCTGAGTGTGGAGCCCGACTCTGGGTTCGATCCCAGGACCCTGAGATCATGCCCTAAGCTGAAATCAAGAGTTGGCCACTTAGCCGAGCCACCCATGCGCCCCGTGCCCTCAGTTTAACTGATTGCTTTCAGTAACCAGTTCCTTAGGAATGATATCAGCTTGAATGTAGAGGAGATTTAGGGGCTGCAGAGATGAAGTTCAGCCTCTGGTTTGGCAGGAATCTCCCTGTCCTGGCACCAGTTAGCTGGGGTGGGACAGGGCCAGGGTTTGAGCTCTGGCAGGTAGGTTTCCCTGGAGAATCAAGAATATGCCTCCCTCACCTACTGAGGGTGCTAATCAGCATGCTGATCTGGGAAGGGGCTGGCTGATAGGCCCTCTAGATCCTGCCAGTTGTTAACAGGGCTCCCCAAGCCCTGGAGTAGACTCATTTCTGCTCTGGGCAAGCATGGCCCTGGCTGAGGCCCTGATGTAGAGCAGAGACTGAAACGGAGCTGGCAAACGGAACTTTGGGGGAGTCTTGCTCTAGGGAACTGGTCTGTGCTTAACTCCTGCTGATTAATTCCTGGGTCTGGGCATCTAGGAGTGGGATAATAGATCCAAATAGGATCCTCAGCTCATGTGGGTGTGTGCCTGAGTCTTGAAGGCAAATACTGGGCAAAGAGGCCCTCGGAAACCAAGGAGCCTCTGGAGTGAAGAGGAAGCCCCTATGGGTGTGCAGCCACAGATTTAGCCACTGGGTGATTCACAGATAACTTCCTCCTTGGGGTTTGCCTTGGTTTCCCCTCCCACTGCTGATTCTGCCCATTTCGAGTGCATCTTCCAGGACTCTTGTTTTTTTTTAAAGATTTTATTTATTTATTTGAGAGAGAGCACATGAGAAGGGGGAGGGTCAGAGGGAGAAGCAGACTCCCTGCCAGCAGGGAGCCCGATGTGGGACTCGATCCAGGGACTCCAGGATCATGACCTGAGCCGAAGGCAGTCGCTTAACCAACTGAGGCACCCAGGCGCCCCTTCCAGGACTCTTGTACAGAGAGCTCTTACTGGTGTCTTTCATACATTGACTCAGAAGTTTCTACTGGAAGGAGCTTCAGAGATCACCTGGTCCTACCTCTCTCTTTTTCAGATGAAGAGACAGGTCCAGGGAGAGAAGTACCCTGGGCCAGGGTCACACACGAGCTCAGGAAAACAACCATGGACAGGGCCCAGGGCTCCTGATGCACCAGCCAGGCTTCTGTACCAGTGTCCTGTGCCCCACACCTCACTCTGCTTCAGAAGGTACAATTTATTATTCCTCCAGCAGAGGTTCAGGGCCCACCAGGTGCCTGGCTCTTGGTGATCAGACCTGGTCCCACATTCAGGGAGCTTGCTGGTGGCAGTGGTGGTGGTGGGGAGGTGGAGAGGGAGAGGCAAGGAAACAGAAACAGTGGAATCACTTATTACCAGACAGGTGCATCCCAGAGAAGGGCCCATCTCAAATGATTTCAGGTGTGACTCTTCTCAACTCATCTACAGATTCCCCAAAGACAGTGGCATGTCTTGCACAATTCCTTTGCCCAGGGCTAGATGTCATTGGCTCTCAGTGATTGTTGCTGATGGAGTGGGTACGTTTTGCTGACCCAGCTTGCAGAGTGTAGGTTTTGGTGTGTCCGTCAGCTATATTATCTTGGGCACTTACTCCTAACGACATCTGAGGGCCAGAGGAAGAAACCAAGCATCTGGTCCCATGGGGGTGTCCAACATCCTCTTTAATGCTTGTTTCTTCCTGGGCTTAGATTTGCAGAGTGGTGTCTAGTTTGATCTAAAGGGACGGTGACAGAGAGGCAAATGTCTCCACTCCCTGGATCACCCAAATCCTCCTGTTGCCTAGGGTTTACCACCTCTCAGGCGCCCCTGAACCCGTGCCATCCTGCTACTCCCTTCAGTCAGTCCAGCCTCCTCCCATCTCCACCTCCAGGGTCCTGTCCACATTTGGCACCAGGACTATCTTTCTAAAATGAAAACTCACCTTGGCCCTCACTGCTCTTGACACTGCCCTTGACCTGATTGCAGCCTTACCTCCTGCCACCCCCTACCTCCCATCACCCTTTAGCCTCACTCCTAAGCTGCTCCTTTTTCCCCAAACCTGCCACCCTCCTTAGGCCTCTTCACCTTTGTGGGATTATTCCTTCTTGCATGGTTATTTCCTTCTTTCTCTGGGAAGCATACTGGTCCTTTAGGACTCAAGCTGAATGTCCTTGTTTGGGTCTCTGACTTCCTCAGACAGTTACTCCTGGGCAGCCAAAGCCCCCAGTGCAGACCTTCCTCACAGCACTGGGCCATATTACATGGTACCTGACCTTCTCATCAAATCGTGTGCCCCAGCCGCTGGGACTGCTCACCCCTCAGTAACCTGAGTATCTGGCCCAGGGTACTCAAGACAGTCTGGTCGAACATATGAATGAAGTGGGTGCCCCTTATTCTGCTTTTTGATTTTAAGTCCTGACAGAGCTTTGTGGAGGCCGTCCTGGCAGGCTCCCGGGATTCGAAGCCGTTAGACCCCACATGGAATCCAGTGCCTCAAGTCCGGCTGCTGCACCCTTGGTGAAGAGACAGTTCCATGTTCTCGTGGGTGTCACTGGGAGTGTTGCAGCCCTGAAGTTGCCTCTTCTGGTGTCTAGGCTTTTGGACATTCCTGGTGTGAGTATGCTTATTAGACAGCGTAGCAGTCTGATGGTGGAGAGCTGCTGCTTCTGGGGCCGGCCCATTTTTATGCAGTGCATGGGGATTTTTGTTAATGGTGTTTGTGGAAGCCCTCTGTGTGCATTAGTGTGTAGGGGAGGCAGGAGACAGTTCAGTATAACGGGAACTAGATGAGAGGGTGTGGACAGTGTGAGGGGAGACTGGGAAAGGAACGCTTTGCTGAATAGAGGGTTTGGGTTCCTATATACTGATCCTGGTTCCCTGAGGTGCTGGTGTGGGAGGAGGGCTGGCTGGAGAAATGCAGCACAGTTGCGGTGTCCCCTTGCTGCCTTGGGCACCCCACCCCCATTTCATCTTGAACACTGCGCCTCTGTTCTCTCCCCTTGTTAGACACCTGTCTGTCCAGATGCACTGGAACGTCAGGGGTACCCCATTGCCTGCGGCTCTGGTTTCAAACTGCTCCTTCAGGTGTTCAGAGATGCCCAGGGGCCTCCACAGTGTATACATCAAAATGTACCCCCATTTTGATCAATTTTATATATTTATATATATTTTTATATAGTAGGGTCCTGGGGCAGATTCTTCTTCGGGAAAAGTTCAAGGCTTTAAACAGTGTGAAATCCAGCAGGTACTGACCTCATTTCCTTGTCTGGTCTCTAAGGTCTGTTGAACTCCCACTGCCTACACTCCACCCTAATGGCCTTTGCTTTGGCCTGGCCCCTGCCAGACTGTGCTGCCCTCCTATTCCTCTGCCTCTCTAAATTCTGCACAAACACTTTACAAGAAAGCCTTCCTGGCCTGCTTCAGCCCATGTGGCATTGCTCCCTTCCTTTTAAAACTCATTTGATGAGGGGCACCTGGCTGGCTCAGTTGGTAGAGCATGCGACTCTTGATCTCCAGGTTGTGAGTTCGAGCCCCACATTGGGCATAGAATTTACTTAAATAAAATACCTTAAAAAAAACAACAAAATAAAACTCATTTGATGTATTATTATTTTTAAAAGATTTTATTTATTTCAGAGAGAGAGAGAGAGCACAGAGGGAGAAGCAGGCTCCCCACTGAGCAGAGAGCCTGATGTGGGACTTGATCACAGGACCCTGAGATCATGACCTGAGCCGAAAGCAGACGCTTAACTGACTGAACCACCCAGGTGCCCTCATTTGATGTATTAAAGAAAAACCTGAGATGGGCAGTAAAGTGGTAAAAACATGTTTTTTTAAGAAAAACTACCACAATAAGGGAAAAGAGACCTCAGCAGAGAACTGGGCTTGATTCCAAATACAACAGGGAAAAGTGGGGGTTTATAGGCAAGGAGCGGGGTGGAGGGTGGTGGATGGAAAATTACTAAGAGGAAATACCAGGACTAAAGGGGGTTCTGGCTAAACTGTCCTGACAGGATTCTTAGTGCAGGCAGGCCAAGGTGATCAATCATCACATGGGGGTTGTTGAGGGATGAGGAGCCTGATGAGATATCTAGGCTGATCAGATATCGAGAGTGGGGGATTCTGGCTAAACCCACTTAACAGGAACTTAAGGACTAGGCCCCAGGATAGGCTTAGTCAAAAAAGTGGCGCAGAGGAGCCAGAGGAGAGTTTGGTCTGGGAGAGAATCTTGACCAAGGTGTGGGGAATCTTAGGTTGTCTTTGACATTGCTCATGTTGCACATTACTTTTGTTGGGTGCGCCACTGGGCCCCAGGCTGTGCTTTTTCCCTGTATCTACGCGGTACCTTTCGCAGTGGCACAGGTACATGTACCCAGTGTGTCCAGCAGGGGGCAGTGCTCACTTGCAGATGACTATGTCAGGACTGAAGGCAGGGGTGAGAAATCTTTTTTTTCCCCTTACTTTCCACAAACTTTCTACCCGGAAAGTCACCCCCTCACCCGACCCCTCGTGCTGGGACAAGCAGTGAAGCAGGCAGCCAGAGATGCCAGCCAGGCTAGAAGGGGGAAGGGAGGTGAGTCTCGTGGCTGCTGGGCACTGGTGCTGCTGGGCAATACCACCTGTGGCCTGCCCCACCCGTGGCCTGCCCCACCTGTGGCCTGCCCCCTCTCCCCCATAGGCCCAGAACCGTTGGTAGGAGCTGGCTCGCTAGACCTGTGAGGGCGGGAAGCCGGGAAGCCTGGAGGCCTGGAGGCCTGGAAGGGGTTGTTGCAGCAGTGACAGCCTCTGCCCCCTCGGGAGGCAGGGAGCCATGCAGTTCCCTTTTCCCATAGCCCCAGAGCAAGTGGATTTCCGGACTGGGGGAGAGGGGGCAGGGCATCCTATCCCAGGAAACAGATGGGCAGCCTCAGAGCTGGGGGAAATGGCAACTCCCCCGCTTCCTGCCGTCCCGTGCAGCCAGCATTTACAGGGGTGTGAGGAAAGGGTTGCGTGAAGTAGGGAGGCTCTCCAGCCCACCCCAGGCCCTGGCCCTCTGACAGGGACAGGCCTTGTCTGGAACAGGAACTTGGCTCTCTCTCGCTGGCTGGAGCCCAGCTGAAAGTTAGGCAGCCAGAAGGGCACTGACCTAGGAGGGAGGACTTGGAGCCTGCCTTTCTCATTTAAAATAAAGGGGATTACAACCACCCATCCCCTCAGGCTCTTGTCAAGGCTTGGGGAGGGGACACCAATGAAAGTTTGTCGTCCTGTGCCAGGAGCTGTGCTTAGCTGCTTAACAATGTTTGTTTCCTGTCCTTCACCCTCTCCTTTCCCCTTGTCATGTCCTTTGGGCCAGCCACGCGGTGGGGTTATTGGGGTTGGCGAGATAGCCCATGTGGGAAGAGCTGTGGGATCCACAGTCCAGCTGCTCCCGTGGAGGGGCCCGCTGCCCTCTCACTTCTTGGCCAGCTCATCCCGCAGGTAGAATGGCTCTCCGAGGAGCCTGGGTTTCCTTGGTGGAGTCCTTGTGAGACAACCAGAGGGGGACCCTTGCTTGGTCCGATGCCGTGGCCTCCCCACACTCCCTGATGGTACTGATCTCCCCATTGCCCTCTTTCTGCGTCACCCCCAGGAGCAGTCTGTCCCTTGGAACTGTCCTTCTCAGCTGCTTGCCTACATCATGGATTCACATGCTCAGGGCTTTCCTGAGCTCCCGAGGCATTTCTAGATTTTGGCCAGCAGACAAGCAGCTGAAGCGTGGGCTGCAGGGAGCTGGGTGATTCTACAGATCTGGCTCATAACTGCAGGTGTACCTCATTTTATTGTGCTTTGCAGATACTGAGTTTTCTTACAAATTGAGGATTTGTGCCAACTCTGCATTGAGCAAGTCTATCGGTGCCATTTTTCCAACAGCCCTTGCTCACTTTGTGTCACCTTTTGGTAATTCTCATAATATTTCAAACTTTTTGATTATTGTATTTGTTATGGTGACCTATGATCAGCAATTACAACTTGCTGAAGGTTCAGATGATGGTTAGCCTTTTTTTTAGCAATAAACTATTTATAAAAATTTATTTTTATTTATTTTGGGGAGGGAGGGGCAGAGGGAGAGAGTCTCAAGACCATGGGGCTGGATCTCACAACCCTGAGATCACGACCAAGAGTTGGATGCTCAACTGACTGCACCACTCAGGTGCCCCACAATAAACCACTTTTAATTGAGGTATTGTTAGAAGTGGGGGAGGGAGAGTAAGGTATCCTCCAGCCTGAGAAGGCACTTTGAGACTGAGAAATGAGCCACTCCATTCCATTACAGAGACTTATGCAGGGGGACTTGCCGATGAGTGGGAGGGCAGGCAGGTTGGGTGGGTGAGGGTCGAGGCGCTGCGCAGCTATGCTCTGCCAAGTCTGCACCTCAATCTACAGCTTTTATAGACTGAGGCATTGTGATGAGATCAACGAGTCGTTCTCTAACGTGGTGCCGTCTGTGTACCACCTCAGGGAAGGTCAGAACAACCCTTCTCACATTCTGGTCAGGGCAGACATTAACCACCACAAGGCCTGAACATGCAGTCTGGAGGGAGGTCATTGCTAGGGCACGAACAAGATGGAGAGTCCAGTATGGGGTCAGTGTTGTTTGCACTCCTCCAGGTACGCGTGTTGCTTTTTTTAGACATAATACTATTGCACACCTAAGAGACTACAGTATGGCGTAAACGTGACTTTTACATGTGCTGGGAAACCAAAAAACTTACTTGGCTAGTTTTATTGTGATATTTGCTTTATTGCAGTGTTCTGGAACCAAACTCGCTATGTCCGAAGGTAGGCCTCTATTCCTGACTCACAAGTGTGTCCAGGCATCCGAGGAGAGCCACTGGCTAGAGCCAGACCAGGGAGACTGTGGAAGGGTGCAGGAGAGGGGTGGATTTGGCCTCATGACTCACACACCAGCAGTCAGGCAGAGTGCCACTGCCAAGAATCCTGGGATACTTTCTGTGGTTGGGGGGAGTTGGTTAGTGGGGGCCGGCTGTACCTCAAGAGGCAGCCAAGCCTAGAGGATTTCTCATGCAGGGATTCTGGGCAGCTCAGGTCTTCTTTATGGCCTCGGTCTTCTTAGCCCTGCAATGAAGAGGGGGGGCAGCAGGTACTAGAATGATCTGTCTTCAAGGCCTCTTCTGGCACTAGTGGTCAAAGAGTCTAGAGATAAGGGCATAAAGGAATAGGACCCAAAGGCAGCCGGAGAGAAGGTCCTGGGATGCGGGAGCTTCAGGGTGTTTGCAGTTCCACAATTGTCATGTAATTGGGTGGAAGTTCTGTCTGAGCACCCCCTCACTTGGATGGAGGAGACATACGGCTCTCTAGCTTTTGCCCGGGCAGGCGTCAGCAGGGCTGCAGCCAGAGGGGCATTTCGAAAGGTGGAGAAAGTCTCCCATTTGGAGAGCTGGCAGGACAAGGTTAAGTTTCCATTCTTTTCTTTTCTTTCAGATTTTATTTATTTATTTGACAGAGAGAGATAGCCAAAGAGGGAACACAAGCAGGGGAAGTGGGAGAGGGAGAAGAGCAGGGAGCCCGATGCGGGGCTCGATCCCAGGACCCTGGGATCATGACCCGAGGCGAAGGCAGATGCCTAACGACTGAGCCATCCAGGCACCCCATTTTCTGTCTTTTTAAAAAGATTTTATTTATTTATTTGAGAGAGAGTGAGTGAGGGAGGAGCGAGCACAAGCTGGGGGAGGGAGGACCAGAGGGAGAGGGAGAAACAGACGCCCCGCTGAGCAGGGAGCCTGATGTGGGCCTTGATCCCAGGATCCTGGGATCATGACCTGAGCCGAAGGTAGATGCTTAACAGACTGAGCCACCCAGGCACCCCAAGGGTTAAGTTTCTAGAATGCCTGTCAGGACATTGACTACTGTCAAGGGTGGGGGAAAGATGGTCCCACTCTCATGCAATACGAAGTAAATTCTGCTTCTCTGGAGGACCATTTGGCAATATCTGGAGAGACAAAGTGTTCATAGCCCTTATTCACCTGTAGGATTGAATCCTGTAGGGTATAGAGATTCACTGTATGTACAAGGATGTTCATTAAAGCATTGTTTATCATTTCAAAACAAAACCAAAACTGGAAACAAAACGTCCAAGGATAAAGAGCGCTCTGGTGCAGTTTGGGCCCAGCCTCGAGATGGATAAAGGCAGCGGTTCAGAAGAATGGCTGGATCTCCATGTTGATGTGGGACAGTCCTCAAGATGTAGATGAAATGAGCCTGGTCCAGGAGTGGGCAAACTGGGGCCCACAGGCCAAATCTGGTCTCGTTACCTCTTTTTATATGGTCTGTGAGCTAAAAATGGTTATTACATTTTTAAGTGGTTGCAAAATTAAAAACAGAATATTTTGAGACACATAAAATTACGTGAAAATTCAAATTTCTGTGTCCATAACATTTTATTGGAACACAGCCACACGATCATCTAAGTATTGCCCATGACTGCAGTCTCGCTACAACAGAGTTGAGTAGTTGTGACAAAACTGAAAATAGTATCAGGCCCTTTAGAGAAAAAATTTGCTGACCGCTGGTATATTGTATGGTTCCTTTTATATGTTCACATATCTGAGCCTGCAAATTTTCCTCTGGAGGTAGTCACCTTTGTGCAGAAATGGGGGCAGGAAGGGAGGCTTGCATTTTGTATCATTCTGTTCAATCTTCATTTTTTAATCTCTGTATATTTATTTTTAAAGTCAGTGGGACTCTTGGTGGGAAAATTATGGAACATTCTTTGCAACTTTATGCTTTTTTTTTAATGCTCGCTGAGAAAAGGAAGCGGGAGAAACGAGGCCTGGTTTGAGGTTTTCCTTTCTTTCGGCGGATGGGGGGGCGGGGGCGGCGCTACCTGCCTGCCCTATGGTCCTGTTGTGGAAACTGGTCTGTCCAGCTGTACCGCTCTGAGGCATTTATTTAGGTTTCTGCTGGTTTGGCCGGCCCCTTCCGCCCTGGCCAGTTCCTCCAGGGAGTGAGTGCTGTGGTCTCCCTTTCAGGTTCCTTCCTTGAGAATTTTCTCTAGCTGGGGAAGGGCACAGAGGGACTGGCAGCTCAGTCCTGCATGAATGGCAGGAAGGGCTGTTGAGACCAGAACACTAGCTCCCCCAGGAGGCCCACTGGGAGGCTGATGGAGAATGGCTTTCCCCAGAGAGCCTGGTGGGAAAGGGCAAGAGGGCTGGGATGGCATAGTGAGCTGGATGGGCCCCTGAAGGCCATGTGGTTTAAATGGCTCATGGCTCAGAGGAGGAAACCAGGACCAGAGAGGAAGAGGGATTTGCCCAAGACCTGCCCCCCCCCATCCCCCAGCCAGTGAGCTGGCAGAACTGGTGCTTGGGGCCAGGTTTCTTGACTCCTGTCAGCAAGTGAACTTGAGGAGCTCAGATCTTGAGCATAGGCATTCTCTGCTCAAGCTAACCATGGCTGTGAGGATGAGAATTCCCAGGACATTGTGGACTCTTACCTGGTCTGCCTTGCTTCATGGTCAAGGTCATATATACCGCACCTACTTGTTAGACTGAGTCTTTGCTGAGGGCAGAGCTCGTATCTTACCAGCTGCGGCCCCCATGTATATGTAGGCTCAGTAAATGTTTGACAAGTCAAGATACCGGGCACCTGGGTGGCTCAGTCGGTTAAGCATCTGCCTTCGGCTAAGGTCATGGTCTCTGGGTCCTGGAATCGAGCCCCATGTGGGGCTCCCTGCTCAGTGGGGAGTCTGCTCTCCCCTTCCCTTTATCCACCCCTGCCCACACTTTTGCTCTTTCTCAAATAAATAAAATCTTTTTAAAAAAAGTCAAGATATCATTATGAGCTGGAACATTATGAGTTGGGACAGCCACCCAGCCAACCGGAACACCCTCAGGGATTTGTTAATGAAGCCACCTGCTCCATAGCTCCCCACCCTATGTGCTGACTGCCCTGGGCACCAAGAGTACTTTTTCCTAGAGTATACCCACCACCCCCACGCTCAGATTCGTGTCAGCTTATTGGCTGGTTCCCAGGCTTTGGGCACAACCAGTGTCAACACTGGTCAGCTTAGTGTCAGGGGCCTCTGCTGGATGTGCTAGCCCAGAGGCCCGAGCCACCAAAGCGCTGGGTTCCTTGCTCTGTGGCAGCGTGAGGCATGGCAGGTGTTCCTCCTTAGACTCCTCAGCAGCCTCCTGTGAAGCTATCATCGCCTGCCCTACTAGGAACACCTGCTCTTTTCGGGCCACTCAGCTGGGGGTTCTGGCTGGGTCTCTCCTTTACTTGTATATGCCAGAGCTGTGCTATCTAATACAGTAGCCACTAGCCACATTTGAATTTAAATTATTAAAATTAAGCCAAAACTTCAGTCCCTCAGTCACACTAGCCACACCTCAAGGGTTCAGTAGCCTGCATGTGGCATGGGGCTGCTGTACTGAACGGCACAGGTGTGACATGTTTCTGTCACTGGAGAGCTCTGTTGGATGGTCCTGTAGAGAACTGGTTCTCACCTCGGGCAGCTTTGCCTCCCTGGGGACACTGGACTATGTTTGGGGACCTTTTTGGTTGTCAAACTTGGGCAGGGGGTGCTATTGGCTCCTGGTGATAGTAAGTAGAGGCCAGAGATAGGATGGGAGGGGGAAATGCAGGCCATGGGATTTATCTCATCCTATGGCTGTGAAAGTGCTTCTCCCCAAGTCCCTTTGGTAGTCTGCCCCAGAGGCAGCCTGGGCCAGACTAGGCCTAAAAGTAGACGTGGAGGTATCACTCCCAAATCTGTTTCCATTTCCCCCTCCCTGACTCTCCAGGAACCCCAGGTGGGATTGCTAATGTACCTTCAGTAGAGAAAAGGAAACTAGACTTGCCAACTGGTTTCAGGAAGGAACCTCTATAAATGCCAGGCAAAATGCAGATAGCTTATATAATAAGGTCTGGCCAAGCACAGAGAAGTTCAGGTTTTGTTTTAAGATTTTATTTATTTGACAGAGAGACACACAGTGAGAGAGGGAATACAAGCAGGGACAGTGGGAGAGGGAGAAGGAGGCTTCCCGCAGAGCAAGGAGCCCAATGTGGGGCTCGATCCCAGGACCCTGGGATCATGACCTGAGTCGAAGGCAGATGCTTAACAACTGAGCCACCCAGGTGCCCCGAGAAGTTCAGGTTTTAAATATTAGATATAAAAACTCTTGGCAGGGGCCTCACCAGGGGACCAAGCTCTGGCTGCTTTTCAGGAACTCTCCAGTGTGTGGGAGATTGTTTTAATCCTAGCTCTGCTTCTACAAGGACCCATGAGGGGTATAAGAAAGCCAAGGTGGGTTCCTGTCCTTAAGAGTTTTCTGCCCTGCCAGGGCTTCTTGACATTTGCTAGGGGAAAGGTCAGGGTGAATGAGTGAATAGTCTGAGTTATTTAGTATCTCAGAAGGTAACACAACATGTCCTTTTTTTTTTGTTTCCTTTTTTTTTTTTTTTAAAGTGTGCAGACCTAGGGCCTAGTCCTTGGCTCCCAGGACATTTGGCAGAGTGAATGAAAATGAAAGAACAAAGCCCATAGGGCTGATGAATTAGATCAAGTGACATCCCTCTAAAACCAGAAAAACGGGCTTGGGCCTGCTGGACAGCCTGAGGGTCAAGGAGAGGTAGCTGCTTCAGTGGGGTCAGGGGACGGGCATCAGGAAGGACTGGTTCATCACATACTCTTCACATTACTCTTGAGGTAAAGATATTGGCCCCAGGAAGCTCCCTAACGATGACTGTATAACCTGGGAGGATAGCCAGAGAAGGATGGACTTCGAGACTGGGGGAGGAGCTCAGAGGGAAGAGTTCAAGCAGGGGCCCAGGGTGGGAGGCTCACCTGGATCCCTGGTTTGAACTCCCTAGGAGCCAGGGGAGGCTCAGGCCAAGAACTGAGAGGGAGGAGGGAGCCCCAGAACAGGGCCATTACCAAACTGGGAATGTTTCTGACTAGCCCTAGGCACAGTCCTTCCTTATGAGAACTGACAGGCAGTTTGGGAGTTAGGGAAAGTAGGGGAACTAGATCTTCAGGAAGTAGCTTTCTAGATTTCAGAATAAAGGATGAACTGGGATGTTCTTTTTTATTTTTTTCTGCCCCTACCCTGAACTAGGATATTCTTTTTTTTTTTTTAAGATTTTATCTATTTGATAGAGCACAAGCAGGGGGAGCAGGAGGGAGAGGGAGAAGCAGGCTCCCTGCTGAGCAAGCGGAGCTCAATCCCAGGACCCTGAGGTCATGACCTAAGCCGAAGGCAGACGCTTAACCAACTGAGCCACCCAGTCACCCCTGAACTGGGATATTCTTACGTGGCACATTGTTCAGGGTGGCTGGGAAGCTCTTAGAGATGAAAGACAGTGATCCCCATGAGGAAAAGAAGGCAGTATCCAGAAACCGATATGTCTACCTGGGAAGCTCTCTGTTGAAGGAGATTGGAAAACAGTTAAATGGAAAGGAAGACATGTAACCAAAGACGGAGGTAAGAGCTTGGCCCAGAGGCCACCAGAATGAACTGAACCTTGCCCTGAAACTCAGGACGACCAATAGGGCTGTTACATATATTTGGGAGAGGAACGGGGAAACGGCCTGGTCTTGGAGGCCAATGGTATAATATTAGGAGGGAACAGAAAGAAACCAGAGAGACTCTTGTGTCCCATTTTGTTTCCATCTTTTGAGCTTGAAAAAGCAGGACAAATGGTGATAGAAGGGACTTGAACCCAAGTTGGGTGATTCATCTCCTGGGCAAATTTCTGTCTGTCTGGCTGCTTACAGGATGGGTGGGAAACAGCAGAGGGCCTGGGGGCTAGAGATGACTAATGTCTGTTTATCAAAAAGGCAAATTACCATAGACGAGGTCTGCAAACACTTAGAAAAGCTCTCAGAAAGTGGTTGTCTCTGGGGCTTGATCAGGCTCATTGGGAACAAGGCCTAACAATTTCAGTTTATTTTTTTGGACCTCAAAGTACTTCTGGATTGAGGTGAGGCCTTTAATAGAGTCTTAGGACATCCCCCTGGACCACCTGACAGTGATGTCAGCACTGTTTTTATAAACAGTGAGAGATCCCACTTTGAAAGGACTTGTTCTTGATTCCTTCCCACCTCCCACCCCCACCCCGTGGACCTTAGGGAAGAGCTCTGCTCTTGACCTTGTTCTGTTCATGATTTGGTTCCTGTCTTGGGGTGGGGGTAGCGGGCTCCTGATGGTGGTGCTGGCTAAGAGCAGGACTGAGATCTGAGGAACTCTCTGTGGGCCACCTCTGGAAAGTAGAATTTACCAGGGAAGCGTGACAGACTGCATTTGGGACCAGAAAAGTAGCTGTGCAGGTACAGGCTGGGGTTTGCGGCTTAGCAGCAACATGGTGAGAAGAACTCTCTTGAGCTTGCTGATTGCAAACCACATATATGTCAGCAGGAGGATGTGGCTTCCGGAAGAGGTGCTGTGGGCTCAGGCTCCACAGACAGACACTTAGTGGGTGCCAGGGACGTGATGCTCCAGGTCCCCTGAGCCTGACCCAACGACAGCGGGCAGGCAGAAGAGATGCCTCCTCTGTCTCTGAGTTCTTCAGTTCTGGGAGATTCCATTCCATTTCTTTCGTGATTTTTCTCACCTCCATTTTTCTGCTTTCTGCAACTCAGGCAGATTTTGGACCTCTTGAATTGATCTTCTTATTTTCTCATCTATTTTTCTAACGTTATCCATCTTTTTTATCTTTGTCTTCTTTTTTCTGCAAGATTGCTTCTACACTTATTCTGAGTTTTTTATTTCACTGTTTATAATTTTGATGTCCAAGAGTTCTTTTTTATTCCCTGAATGTTCATAAAAAAAACATGAGCATCTTATCTAATCTGCTAATGCTTCCTTCTACTTTCATTTTCCAGAAATGTGTGGACATGTCTTACCTGCTAGTTTCTGGGGTTGGTTGGTTTGTTTTTGCTTTCACTTTATTTGATTTTTTGGTCCTCTTCTCTCTGTTCTTGGTTCATATCATTAAAAAAAAAATCCCTTTTGGGGCGCCTGGGTGGCTCAGTCGTTAAGCGTCTACCTTTGGCTCAGGTCATGATCCCAGGGTCCTGGGATTATTTTGGGGGGCAGCAGAGTTTGAATGTACCTTATTTAACTGAAAGTTTATTCTTTTAACATTTATATATCCTTTTTTTTTCTTTTTAAAAAAGATTTATTTATTTATTAGAGAGAGTGTGAGCGGGGGGAGGGGCAGAGGCAGAGGGAGAAGCAGGCTACCCACTGAGCAGGGAGCCTGATGTGGGGCTCGATCCCAGGACCCCAAGATCACGACCTGAGCCAAAGGGAGATGCTTAACTGACTCAGCCACCCAGGCGCTCCACCTTTTTTTTTTTGTTAATGTTTTATTTTTAAGTAATCTTTACACCCAACTTGGGGCTTGAACTCACAACCCCCAAGATCAAGAGTCACAGGCTCCACCAACTGACCAGCCAGGTGCCCCGATATATCCTTTTGTTTTAAAAGTGTCTTTTCAGACACATTTTGATGTGATAGAGGGCTTTAAAAATCCACTATGAGAGTCTGAATTTTGATCAGGGAATTTAGCTCATTATCTATTACTCTAATTACTATTATGTTAGGACTTAACTTCTGCTGTCTTAATGCTTTCTACTTGTCATGTGTCCTCTCTGCTTTTTTTCCCTTTCCGATCCTTTATTGTGTAGCTTGAGTTTTCTGCTGGTTTGAAAGTGACCTATTCTTCTGGTTAGCTCTAACTTACCGTTCCCCTGTCTTACCTTGCCACTGTCTTGTATCTTGAGAGTCTTGGCACTGTCCTGCCTTCCTCTGCTCTCTCCCTGCCTGTGCTGGTCCCGGGTGGGCTCCAGGCCTCGGTGCCGTGGAGAGAAGGCGGCCCTGTTCCTCCGCCATCTTGTTCAGAGCTGCCCTGGAGGGAGCACCAGTGCTCAGTGGGAGTTTGGTTTAAATGACCTTTAAAAAGGTCACTGAGGTCTTGCGCGAGTTCTGGAGATGGTAGATTCTAAGGGAGAGTGAGGGAGAGTGGACATGTCTGAGAGCTCTCCAGTAGAGCTAGAAATAGCAGACCTTCTGAAGTACCGAATTTTGCTTCTCTGAGATGTCTGCTTCCTGGTCCCAGCTTTGCTCTTACGTGCGTAATGCTGTCACTGCCGCAGGATAGGCAGGAAACAGATGAGGAGGGGGGCCTCAGTGAGACGATAGGGAGGGATGGGGCTTCTGTGAGTTGGCATGGGCACGCTCTATCCCAAGAGGCAGCTGTGACGCAACACCACCATTATCAAGTAGGAATGTGGGCCCCAGAGTGCCAGAGCTTTTAGTTTTTCAAGAGAAGCCAAGAAATTGGATTTTCTATGTGAAATCTCCCAATCTGTATATATTGGCTCAAGAATGTTTATAACCTCATGCAGGCCAAGTAGCATGTCTGCAGGCTGGATCTGGCCTCCATGCCACACGGGATTCCTGTTGTAGCCAGTTGATGATTCTGTCCTTGTCACCCTTGACTCTTCTGTCTCCTGGATAAATGTCCCCTAGAGATGTGATTTTCTACACCCTTCCCCTCCCAGCCACTTCTTTGGAGCTCGTTTACTCTGCCAGTGTATTGGTTTAACACCTCATTTTACGAAGGATGGCAACTGGGTCTAGTGCTGTCCACACAACTAACCGTACCCTTGTTTGCATTATGAATTACTTGTGAATGAGGAGTGTGAAGGTAAACTTCATTCTTGCCCCACGAGTGTAGGGTACACAGGTTTTTTTTTTTCCTGGAGTCTGTCTGCAACCAGAGCCCACGAGGCCTTGTTCCTAGAAGTATGAGAAAGGACTCTGCCTTGTTTTCTCGCTGGGGCATGGATGCAGCCACCGCGTGCCAGGCCCCAGCTCCCCAGTACCTTGGCCTGCAGAGGGCAGGGTTGCGGTGTGGATTAGAGCTCTTTGGGGTGGCTCCTCTTACCCTGCATTCCTTCCTGTCTGCCTCTGCCTCTCAGCCCGAGTGGCAGGAGCCTGCAGCTTTATATGCACTGGGCAGTTGGTGACTCATTCCTCAACAACCCCTCAGATAGGGAAGTGAAACGGTCACATCTGGTGGGGCCTGACCTTTGGGTGACATCGGAAGTAGCTATGCAAACATGGGGCTCACTGCCGAGGAGGGAGAAGTCTTTTCCACAGCCATGCTGTGAAGAAGGCACTTGCCTGGCCTGGCCCCGTGCGGCCTCCAGGCCGGTGGCTCTGGTAACAGTTTCCTTTCCCTCTCCCTCTCCACCTCCATTGTTTTCTCGGTGACAGCTGGAAGTAGCAGTGGTCACAACCGAGAGAGCCAAACATTTCTACAGCCCCCAGGACATTCCTGTCACTCTCTACAGCGATGCTGATGAATGGGAGGTCAGTGCATGGGGGCCCCAGGGCTGAGTTCCATCGTGTTTCTACCAGCAGGACAGCAGTGTCCTCCCTGCTGCCCGTGGTCCTGGAGGCCAGAGCAGACGGGCTAGGCTCAAGTCAGTGGTCAAGGCCCTCTGGGCAGAGGCGATGAGGAGAACATGTGTGTAGCTTCTGGCCTGCGGGAGGCCTGAAGTCTCCTCCCACCCCAGGCAGAGCTTGGCCCTGGCCCCGTGCCTCAGGTTGAGTGTCCTTGCACTTATCTGGGCTGATGAAACCACAGTGGAGCTCCGTTCCCACCACCCTTGTCCACGTGGCTCCCAGTATCAGGGCTGTGGAGGGCACCTCACTTCCCACGGCCGCTGGGCTCTGCGTCTGCTCTCCCGCAGCGGGGCAAGCACCGGCCGATTCACCAGACATCGAGTGTGGGCCTCACAGGGGTGCCCTGCCAGGCATTTTGAAACATTCTCAGCCTAGAACATTTCTGGCTGGCCTGTCTTCTCCACCCCACCCCCTCCATTCTCGCCGCCCCAGAGCCCTTCCACGGGCTTGGACAACCCAAGCATCCGCCTCAAGCAGACAGGCCAGGAGTTCCGTGCCAGATGTCAGTTCTCTTGAAAACCAAACCATAAAGGGAATAGCTTGGAGAGACAAGGGGTGTTTGTTTCCTCAGGCCTGGTTTCTCTCAGGCTGTCGGCTTCACAGCTGGTGCTCACCAGCTTAGCTGTGAGAGGGAACAGTAGTGGACTTGGACAGGGCTTGCTCAGGTGGTCTCCCTTGGTTTCTGACTTACGTATACCTCCCTCCGCACTGAGAGACTAGCCAGCTTAATGACCCCGTTTCCTTCCCTCTGCCAGATGTGGAAGTGCCGATCTGACCCAGTTCTCCACATTGACCTGCGGAGGTGGGCCGACCTCATGTTGGTGGCTCCTCTCGATGCCAACACCCTGGGGAAGGTGGCCAGTGGCATATGTGACAACTTGCTTGTGAGTGACTCTACCCTCCTCCCTCCCTGGGCCTCACTCCTGGTTTGCCGAGCTGCAGACTACCTTTGTATGGGGTTCTTGCCTTGGAATTCTTTTTATGGTGGGCTGATTTGCCTGGAACACTGTCCCCCTGGACCCCCTCCCCTCCACCTGGTGTCACCTGTGTTCCGGCCAGTGGACAGATGGATGGATTCAGCTTGTGTGTGCTCTCTGAGGGTGTCCACCTCTCACCTGCCCCCCTGATGCTCAGCTCTTCTCCCTTTGTCCCTCATTCACGGGCTGCCCTTAATGTGCTCTTCTGTTGGTCTCCCTGCCCAGCCCCACTGCCTGCCCTCCTTAGCCCTGCCTTCTCCCCAGGATCTGGATATCCACATGGGCGATCTGATAAGAGTGTTTACTTCCTCATGGATCTCTTGTGCACACTTATCTCTCCTGTAGCATTGGCCACAAGGCAGAAATGCGGTTTTCCTGTGTGTTAGGGAAAGCTTAGAGAGGAAGGGAGGAGAGACGGTGAGAGGTGCCAGCTGATGGCTGGTGGAGGAGAGGAACAGAAGTCCAGATGCACAAAGTGGGGATTGTTCTCGGCCTAAGGGACCTCCAGGGAGCTGTTGTCCTAAAGGCCTTGTTTATATGATCCTCCTGGGAAGAGCTAGGTGTGTCATCTCTGTCCTCTCTCCTTCTCCATTATTACCCCACGTCCCTCACGCATTGAACGTTTCCCTAACATGAACCGAGCCCCATGCTGAGAGACACACAGGATACGGGGAACTCATAGTCTGGAAGGAGAGGGTTGTTGGTTACCCACACAGGTGAGAAGGAAGTATGCTCTGGTGTGTGGTACAGTCTTCAGTGACCCCAGTTGGTCCTTTGACAGTGGACAGTGCTGGGCATATAGTAAGCCAGGAGCAGGGGTGGGGGAGTACAGAGAAGGGCGAGCCTGGGGGCAGTGTTATTCAGAAGGCTTCCCAGTGAGGCTGGTGTGTGGCTGACTGGGCAGCTGGAGCAGGTGAGGCTCCAGGCCACTTTCACCCCTGTAGGCCTGAGTGGTATATGACCTGCACCATCTCAGCAGATCTCCAGGCTTCCCACTGGCTGGCCAGCACCAGCTGATGTGATGAAGCACACTGATCTCTAGGAGGTATGCCCCAGGCTGGGCTGGCTCTCAGACGGCTCCTTTCTTCCCCTGCAAAACTCTGCTTCCCTTTTTCCTTCAAAGCTGCCCTCACTCCCTGAAATCTTCAGGGTTCCCTCCTCCTGAATTGGCTGAACTGAGGCCGTTTGCCTCAAAAGGTTTCACTTGAAGGCACAGATATTTCAAGGAATTACAAATCTCATAGTTTATTTTATTTTAGAGTGAGCAAGAGAGAGCAGGAGCGAGGGGAGGTGCAGAGGTAGAGGGAGAAGCAGACTCTCCGCTGAATGGGAGCCCAACATGGGGCTCGATCCCGGAATTCTAGGATCATGACCTGAGCCGAAGGCAGATGCTTAACCGACTGAGCCACCCAGGCGTCCCTCTCATAAACTTTAAATTGTCATCATCCTTGCCCTATGGCTCTGTACTCACTTAAGAGATGTTTTGTCCTTTTATCCCTGAAAACGTCGCCCCGCTGCCCCCTTCCTTCAGCTCTCCCTTTCCAGTGTCTAGAACTTGGGGTGCCAGAGGAGCAGCGTGCTAGGTGTGAACCTGTGCGCCAGGTCTCTGGGCCCTTGGCCTGGGTGAGGTGCATCACCATCTGCCCTCTGGCCCACTTGGGTCCTCGCCCCTTCTTTGTGCTAAATAGCCAAGCAGAGGGGCGCCTGGCTGGCTCAGTTGGTAGAGCATGCAACTCTTGATCTCGGAGTCGTGAGTTTGAGCCCCATGTTGGGTGTGGAGATTACTTAAAAAAAAAAAAAATAAATAACCAAGCAGAACCAGAAAGAGGAGTGACTTCCCTGGGTCGCCAGTCTAGCTGGGAGCTGGTCTCCTGATCTGGATCTAGGCCTTCTCTCTGCCCAGGCAGCTTCCCAGGGGCAGAGCTTGAGGTACTGAACAGAGCCCTGACCAAACAGACGTGACCGTGGGAACTGAGGCCTCCTCTCATCCCTCCTGCTGCCAGAAGGTTCAGAGGACTGTGGTTTGTCTGCGAAGGGCTGAGGTGCGAGGTGAGGTGGGAAGAGCTAGAGAGGCATGGGACACGGAGGTATTGGGTTTGTCTTCTGGTTGTTGGTGTGCTGTGCTTCGAAGACGCTTAGAAACCCCAAGCCAGCGCCCACCACACTCCACACGCTGCAGGGGGCTGCTTCTAGGTATGTTCGTGACTCTTACAGAAGCGGCAGGTGGCACGGGGCCAAGAGGAAGTGTGACTGAAACTGTCCACTCAGCCTGGTTGCCACATTGAGAGGACTCGGTGGGAAACAGACGCTGGTGTCTGGGTCTACACAAGCAGCCAGGTCCTGAGGCCGCGGGCCGTCCCACTTCCTTCCCGTCCCCAGGAGAGGGCAGGGGCACCGAGAGCGCCGGGCATTGACTCGGGCCTGCTCCCGGCATTGTTTTCTGGATTGCCCCCTCTCTTCCCACACGGGCTGCACTTCAGGGATGGGGTGTGCTGACCACTGTCTCCCCAAGGGGCCCACAGCTGGGAAGGAGGTGCCAGAGCAGCCGGGGAACCTCGGGGCAGCCCCTGGCCCCGGGAGCCAGTGCTACTCTGGTGGTACCAGGAGCTCCTGTTTCGGGAGCCTGACCTTGGTGCCAGGCCCTGTGTGAAGAGCTGCAAGCATTTCCAGCCTCTGTCCTCACAACCATCCGGTGACGGGGGCTTTTGCAAAGAGGAAGCTAAGACTCCCGACATTAAATTACTCCTCCAAGTCCTCCCGGCTTGAAGCAAGAGTAGATAGCACAGTCGGGATTTGAACCCAGGTCTATGATTTCGCAACCCGCTGGGCGGGTGGGTCTCTTTCACAGCTCCTCTGGTGTGTGACTTGGTGGGATGGCCTGGAACTCGGGAGGTAGTGAGGCTGTGTGGGACGGTGGAAGGCCCCACGGGGCGGCGTGCAGGGCTTCATGCCCTGGATCGTCGTCTCCATGGGAGCTTGGGGAGTGCAGCTTTCCCATGTGACGCGGACAGCACCTTCTTTACAGGGTTACAGTGAGGTGCGTGGGATACTGCAGAGGAGAGGGTTTTTGTCGTGTGGAAGGTGTTCTCATGCCAAGCTTTAGCCGGCTTCGAAGTAGAGCCGGAGTTGGGGTGGATGGGCCCCACCCGATGAGTGGTCTGGGCCTTTGCTTTGGGGGTAACTGCTCCCCTGGCTGGCTTCTGTCTGTGAGGTGTGTCCCACAGTGGAGAAGCCTTGTGCTTTGGCTCAGAGAGCGTGTTCTGCACAGGAGTGGGGGTCTGTGTGGAGGTGGCGGGGCCATTGCGCGTGTTGGGGGAGGACCCCCTGTGTGTCAGGCCCTGTGGGGAGGTGGAGAGGCTGAGGAGACATGAGACGGGGGGACACGGACAAGTCGCACCCCGTCATCCCAAGCCCTCTAGCTGTGACCCAGAGGACGGTGGGTAGGATTTGGGAGCACTGGGGAGGGGTGGCAGGCAGAGCGGCAGGCACCCACTCACCCCACTGGGCCCTTCTTCACAGACCTGTGTCATCCGAGCCTGGGACTGCCGCAAGCCCCTGCTCTTCTGCCCAGCGATGAACACCGTCATGTGGGAGCATCCCATCACGGCGCAGCAGGTGGGCCAGCTCAAGGCCTTCGGCTATGTTGAGATACCTTGTGTGGCCAAGAAGTTGGTGTGTGGAGACCAAGGTGGGCATCTGGCCAGGCTCATAGCCCATCCCCACAGCCCAGAGTCACAGTAGGGCTCAGCTCCGGGGTCAGATCTGGGTCCACATCCCAGCCTGTCGTGACCTCAGGCAAAACTGTTCTCTGGGCTCGGTTTTCTCGTCTGGGAAATGGAAGTCATAATTCCTCTCAGACTTGGTAGGATTAAACGAGATAGTATATGTCAAGTGCCTGGTGTCCCTGGCAGGCAGCCCAAGTACACAGTGGTTACTGTGACTGTTCCTGGGACCTGACCTGGGGGTGCCTTGGAAGGGACTTGATGGGTCTGGCTCCTGCAGACATGGTCCTGGCCTTCCAGGCGTTGGGCTTTGGGTGGAGCACTCGGGAGCATTGAGCAGGGTGGATGGGGGCTGGGTGCCTGCCTCAGTCTGCAGGCCACAGCAGAACCTTGCTCCCTAGGTCTAGGGGCCATGGCCGAGGTGGGCACCATTGTGGGCAAAGTGGAAGAAATCCTCTTCCGGCACGGTGGCTCTCAGCAGAGTTGAACCCAGGATTTCTGTCATGTGTGTCCCTCTGCACTCAGCGTGTTTTCAGGCCAAGTCTATGAAGAAGGTGGATGTTGGCAAAATACGGTGAAGACTTCTGCGTTTACTGGGGAGGAGTCTGTCCGGGGCTGGGGGCCTGACTTGCCTCAGGTTCAATTAGAACAAAGGCCCAGGTCCCGACTTCTTTCCAGCTAAGAGATGCCTGCTTTCCAGAACCCTCCTCCCCCTTCCCTGGGATTGGCACAGCAGGCTGCTGTACGTCCCTGTGCTCTGGGAGGGGGACTGAGGGATGACAGAGAAACCTTGATTCTCCCTGGTGCCTGGGAGCCGCTTCAGCTCCTTGGTGGGCTGCCCTGGCACCATGCAGAGTCAGAGAAGCCTGTGATTGGCAAGATGCTGAGATTCTCCGTAGATCATGCGGTGAGATCGGGGGGTAATGGGGAATAAAGAAGAGTGACCTGTAGGAGTCCGTGTCCTTCCTTTACCTCTGTCTGTGGTCTCAGAGATCAGGGGCATTGCTTGGTGTGGCTGGTGAAGGGTCGGGGCTGACAACTGACTGGCGTGTCTTCCTGCCAATCTCATGTGGTGGTTAAGACAGACCCTAGTTCAAATCCCAGCTCTGCCGTGTGCTAGCAGTGGGACCATGGCTCAGGGCTCTCAGCCTTTCTGACTCTTGCTTTCCTCATCTGGATGATCCTACCTTCATGGAGTTGTTGGGAGAATGAAATGAGGTTATGTGTGCCAGATACCTGCCTCCCTGCCTCTTACATAGTAATAAATGTCAACTAAAGGGAAGTTAAAGCTGGATATGTATTCATACCAGTGAGCTTTGCTAACATTTACTGAAATAGACCCTCTCATTTTGGGAAAAGTAAAATCCCCAGCCCTAAGCTGACGTGGCCTTTATGCAAATGACAGGCACACAGCCAGCAGGGTTGGAACCTAGGCCCCTTGCTTCCTGATGTCCTCATCAGCTTTGCTGCACCTGAGACCGGGACCTGGGTGTCTGTGCCTCCCCTCCGACCCCACCCAACGGCACACAGGAATTCAGAAAGTAGACTCCAGAGAGACACGTGTTCTGCCCTAGAAAACCCCACCACCCTGCCTTTGACCTAATTGCTGTTTGGCGGCTGCAGTGGTGAGGGGCTTGTGGGCCTGTTTGGAGCTGAGGTTGGGGCTGGCTTCCTGCCTTCCAGGCCAGGGGTGTGTGGGCACTCCCCGCATGCCCTTGGACTGCTGAGGGTAGAGGCTACCATTGAGGGGCACCAGTGAGCCTGCTGGCTGGGACCACGGCTTCCAGGCCTCCAAGAGCCTTTCTTTCTACAGCACTTGACTTAATCAAGTGACACTTTGGGATACAGTTGCCTTAGGGCAATAAAGGAAATCTACCTCAAATGGTAGCATCACAGACCAACCTCTGACAGGTTTGAGGGTTGGGGGATGGGGAGGGCCTGGATCATTGAAATTCAGAGACAATCCCAAAGTTGCAGACACGTCCCTCCTTGTGTCTGCATTGCCCTTTCTTTCCCTCAGCAACCTGCTAATGAGTAGTGAGGCTCTCCAATTTTAATAGAAACTGCTGCCATTTACTGAGTGCTTACTGTATGCAAGACCTTGTGCTGGGCACTTTAGGAAAGACAGCTGCCCAGACCTGCTACACAATGCTGGTTCTCGAAGGCCACAGGAGCAGAGAGGTTGATAGGACTCTACCCAATACCTCTGCAAACAGCTGTGGCTCCTCAGAGCGGGACCGAGGAGCTTGTTGGCTGGAAGGAGAGATGTCCCCCATGGATGTAGGCCAGCTGGAGGCTCCATCCCTGGGGTCCCTCACTCCGTCACTGCAATCCTGCATCCCTGTTGCCCATTTTGAATGGGGTTCTGGATGGATGGGCTGGGGCTGGGGCTGAAGAGCCCAGGTGTCCCCTGAGCCCCTGAGGTTGGAGCTGAGAGGGCAGTTAGCATCAGGCTGTACCCACCTGGCCCCAACTGCAGGGGGAGGGGAGTGGCAGCAACAGCTCTCCCCACCAAGAGTCAAAACTCTGAAAGTGGTCAGCATTGAAGTTAGAAGTATTTCTCAGAGAAGATGCTAGTCTCTCTCATTTTTTTTTAAAGATTTTATTTATTTGACAGAGAGATCACAAGTTGGGGGGGGGGGTTGGGCAGAAGGAGAGGGAGAAGCAGGCTCCCGGCTGAGCAGGGAGCCCGATGCAGGGCTCGATCCCAGGACCCTGGGATCATGACCTGAGCCAAAGGCAGACGCTTAACTGACTGAGCCACCCAGGCGCCCATCTCATTATTTTTATCAAATTCTGGAAGTTTGACAAAATTGAACATTTGGGTCTGAAATTCACACTCTTGTTTGGCAGCCTGGAGCCTCTCTGGGCTGCTGTGGCTACTGCTGGGTGAGAGGTACAAGTCTCCACGCCAGGGCCCACCCCCACACTGGCTGTGTCTAGCTCTTCTGTGACCCTCTGATTTCTCCCCACTGCCTCAGGGTAAGGCCCTGATTCCTGGGCAGTACACATCTTGGCCCTCCGTGAGCTGGCCCCTGCCTACCTTTCCAGCTCCACCCCTATTACATGTCACCATGCCAGGCTCCCCATCTTCTTGCCAGACTGGACAGCCTTGACAAAGCCCTGCTGCTTCTTACCTTTGCACTTGCTGTCACTTCACCCGGCTGACTCCTGTTATTCATGTGGCTGACTCCGACTCATGCCTCTGACGTACCTGGGTGCCACCTCTTTTGGAAAGCCTTCCCTGGCCGACTCAGGCTAGATCAGGTGGTCCTTGCCCAGGTTCCCATTGTGCCCCCTGTTATTTATTATAACACGGAATTGCAGTTGCCTGTTTACTTTGTAAACAGGAATCTCCTGGAGGGCAGGAGTTGTTCTGTTCCTCACAAAGCCTGGTATGTCATTCCAAGCTTGTACTGACAAAAAAAAGGTGTGTGTGTATGTGGTGGGGAGAGGAGGGGCAGTCCTGCTCCTTTCTGAGCGAGACACACAACGTGGGAGCCATAAAAGCAAAGACTGATAAATTTGCCTACAGAAAAATAAACAATTCCGCCTAGCAATAGCCCAGAGGCAAGGTCAAAGACAAACATAAATGGGAAATTATCTGCAGCTCATATAACAAAGGACTAATTCCCCTAATATAAATAAAAGGACTAATTCCCCTAAGAGCTATACATTGATTCAAAAAAGACCAAGAATACAAAAGAAAGGTAAGCAGAGGATAAAAAAAATCGAGTCCACATGTTTATGTGCACGCGCACTCACACACACACGCTCCACTTGGCTCTTAAACATAAAAAGCTACTCAACCACATTCATGGGGAGAGTGACACAAAGCAAACTGCACCTCAGCGGAGGTTTTCGTCTGTAAGCTCGGTGAGGGCGGGGGATGGGCACCTGCTACCTGGACAGCAGGACTGCAGGTTTGATACAACCTCGCTGGAGAACGATCTGGAAATATCTATGAAAATTACGTATGTACTTTACCCTTTCACCCAGCAATTCTACTTCCAGGGATTCATCCCACAGATGCATAGAGTGCATTATGTCTGAATAAGGCTTGTTGTTCATCGTGGCATTGTATGTGTCGGTAAAAGGCTGGGAACACCCTCGCTATGTCACAACTGGAGACTGGTTGCATCAGTTAGGGTCGCTCCTACACCCGGACACTACGCAGCCACAAGATGAGCGTGAGGAAGCCCTCTAGGTGCCCGTGTGGGATGCTGTCTGAGATAACGCTGCTAAACAGAAAATGCGAGACGCAGAACGATGTCTATTGCATCCTAGCTTATGTGCAAAACAAGTGAGGGGCGGAAAAGAGGATGTGTTCCCATTGCCTTGTAGGTGCATCAAATACCTATTGAAAAATAAACAAGAAACCAGTCCATTGTTTGCCGCTTGGCAGCAGAACTGGGTGGTTGAGAAAGGTGGGAGACCAACTTCATTTTTTTTTTTCTTTAAAGATTTTCTATATTTATTTGACACAGAGAGACAGCGAGAGAGGGAACACAAGCAGAGGGGAGTGGGAGAGGGAGAAGCAGGCTTCCTGCCGAGCAGGGAGCCCGATGTGGGGCTCGATTCCAGGACCCTGGGATCATGACCTGAGCCGAAGGCAGATGCTGAACGACTGAACCACCCAGGCGCCCCGACCAACTTCATTTTAAGTTGTGAGGCAGATGAGTATAGTATGTACCACAATGGCAGTAAATACACACATTTTAAAAGGGGTTCCTTCTGTCCTTTATCCAGAAGTTCCTAAAAATGACCTGGCAGAGAACATGCAAAAGGCTTGGCAGGGGCATCTGGAGATTTCCATCAAGGTCTTTGGAGTAGAAATGGGTCTGTTTTTCTTGTCATGAGCTAATAGAGGAGGAGGACTTTTGAGTACCACTGGGTGCTACTTAGAAGCCTTTGAGGCCCCTGAGCTCAAGCAGCTTACGGTCTTATGGGCAGAAGACTCAAGGCCTTAAAACAATCAAATGACCATGAGAATCAAGCATGAGACTGTGTAGTACAGACTCAGTGCGAGGCTCAGAATCGAGAAGTAGTAAGGGTGGGCCTGTTGGAGGGCGCAGAGCTCACGCCGATGCTTCCTGGAGGACCGGGGGAGTGAGAAGTGGATGGGAAGGCTGAAGACGTGCTACCCTGTGCTTGATGTGGGACACCTGGGTAGGAACTTGGGCTCCAGGGGCTAGGGACCTGGGGAGCTTCAGCAGGGGAGCGAGGCGAGCGTGGAGTGTGGTAGAGGTCAGCTGTGTGGTTCTGGGGACAGATTGGAGGACTGAGACCCTGGAGTTGGGGAGGAAGCCAGATGCTAAGCGGGGGAAGCGAGGCTGTGCTGAAGGCCCTGGCCAGACTTGTGGTTCTGGAGAGGAAGGGGGTGCAAAAGTGAGTGACGATGTGACGAAGACCCAGCATGGTTAGAAAGCGTAAGAACCACTGTCCTGTGGCTAGAGGGTGGGGGGCCAGGTGGGGGGGGGCACTTAGTGACAATTGTGTGTGTGTTGCTGAAGATTTATTAACAGTCCCCAGTGCCACCCACTAAAAAGAATTCTGCTTTGCTTACCACAGTTTTTTTCTCTCAGGATTGTTTAGTCTGCCTTCATGGTTCCTGGGCATTCTGTGGTGTGGAAGTAGAAAAAACAGACCGAGATAACGGAACTGGGGAGATGGGAAGAAAGGGGAAGGGAGTCTTACTTCTTGTATTGTGTCTCCTTTGTGTGGTAAATTCTGGTCCTGGGCGAAGGGGGTGGGAAATTAAAGCAAGGAGTGGAGAGACTCGATGACCTCCATAATGAAGAGCTGAGAGAGGCCTGAGTGGGGCGGGGGGGCGGGCAGCAGACCCAGGCGTGTGGGCCAGGAGTTGGGGTACAGTCTGGGAGTTGGCTTCACAGTCTTTGAGCTGCTGGGGGTTCAAGTAGATGGAGGTGGGGACTAAAGGGGTGTTTGA